ATAATTAATTAAACTTAATTTATACCCTTAAAACACTGGTTAAAAAATTCCATTATCTAATACCCATAAATAACAATTAATGTTTATGCTACCATCACCCAATCCGAGGTCACCAACAACACTTGGATTATTCTTATGATTATTTTTTAATACACTTCCACTCTACAAAATAAATATTCCCCAAAACGTCAACCTCCTCTTTACAGTAAACAACTTGCATTACTCTCTCAGGGTAACGCTATAGGGACTGGTCGGCCTCCAAGCCGATTGGTCTCTATGGTATTCTTTTTAATGGAGAACATATGTAAGGTAGACATCTATCCGTGATATACCGGTGGTCAGCCAATCGTTGGCGAACCAGCAAACTACACCTGCCAACCACGAAGGCACAGACGGCAGTGGCGTATCTAAAAATTCAGGTAAGACAGGCAGGGAAAATTTAAAATCATTAGTTAATATGCAAAATTTTAAAGTTTTAGTCTAAATTAGTAATTTTATATAAATTGAGTTAAAATTATTATATATCTTTTTAATCATTAATATTTTTTATATTTTTGTATTTTTAATTTTTAATTAAAAATAATTAAAAACATATACAAAAAATAATAATTTAGAATTAAATTCAAACAACAATTGTTAAAACAAAAAATAATCAAAATAATAATTTATACATTATCATCCAATTAATCTTTATTTTTTTATTTTTCATATTTATTTTCTTTCTCAACATCCACTACAAGGAGATGGGTTTATACTGATGGAAGTTTTCCGTCTATATAAACTAATTTTCCGTTGGTATAGACCCCTATGACTATTTCAACGGACCAACTTTTAGTTGGTAGAAACTTCATCAGTATAGGGTATATACCAACGCCTAATCCGTTTGTATAGACCTTTGGATCTATTCCGATGAAAGATTTTGTCCGATGGTATATACCCTAGGATCTATTCCGATGGAATACTTATCCGTTGGTATAGACCCTAAGAAATCTTAAAAATTTTTTCGTCTGTGTAGACTCTCATATTTATAGACAAGTAATTTCATTGGTAAAAACTCAAACATCCGTCTGTATACACCCATAGGTCAAAGATCTATACCAACAACTTTTTCCATCAGTATAGATATATATATTTTTAAATCGATCGTTCAATTCAATTCTATTTTATTTTATTTATAAATTTCTCTGCACTTATTTTTTTTCTATATTGACAAATACCATTTGTCAATTTTTTTATAATAAAGAGAAAATTGTATTATTTTCCAGATTTATTTCCTTTTTTTTTTTTTTTTACTCTTGAGTTCAAGTTTGACTAATTTACAAAGTGGAACTTAAATCAAGTTTAACTTTTATAACTTGCAAATTGCTCATAAGCTAATCACTCACTAATGCTCTTAATCAAATTAACTTAACCATTGATTGGTTTATCAGGATGGTCTTCGTCCTGTTTCCTGAAAGTCATCTATGTTTTGCTTTGTTTTCATCAAGTAAAATAGAGTCCCCAAAAAATTGCACTAGTCTCCTGCAATGTAATGAATCAAAACAAATCAACCAAATCAAACCCCACTTCAAAACAAATTTAAGTAAAATTGGAAAAAATTGAAAGTAATTGAATCAAAACAAATTTAAGTAAAATAAAAAATCGAAAATAATCAAAAGATTATGAGTCTCCTGCAATGTTACCTCTTCGGCTTCTCTGGATCCTTTGCAGTTTCTTTTCCAGCCGCTGCACTGTTGCTCTTCAACTTAACAAAAAAATTTTCCAAAAAAAAAAAAAAACACATCGATTAACAGAAGAAGCTAACACTTAAATCTACGACGGTCTTAGAACGTAATCGCAATCACTATGATATCAAAAAAAAAAAATATTGACTCAGAAATTACAACAAAGCAAAATAAGGAATAAAACTCACTTACTGTTAGTTTTCTTTGAATTAGCCTTCGATCTAGCACCTTAATCATGCACGAAAAACAGTCAAAATCAATGAGAATTGTTTAAAGATCGGTCAGAACGATGCAAACATGACTAGGTCGCCACAACGAGTTACTTGAGAGTTAGGGTTTTTGGAAGACCAGGAGACGCAAGCGAGTGAGCGAGCAAGAAAGATAAATGGACAAATAGGCAATTCGATTTGGTGTGGTGTGGATCTTGAAATAGGCAAAGGGGGAAAAGAAATGGACAAAATAGAGTCCGCGCTTGGGCGGGATTTCAAAACTTTTTTTCTGCCACGTCAGTAATCCGTGTGCTTTCATGCTATTCACACAGTTTAATAATTTAGAGGCTTCTATGTGTTTCTTTTGTAAAAAATATAAGAGATAATATTTTTGTATAATTATATTTTATTTAGATAATTTATTTATTTAAAATTTGTTATATTGAGTGTAATTATTAATTTAATAATACATAAAAATTGTATAAAAATTATTTATATCTTTACCTTTTATATCGATATCCTTTTATGCTGCTTGTGTTCTCTGTTTTTTATATGAAATTTTTTTTGAACACTTAAATTTATGGAATAACATTTAATTTAATATCTAAATTTATTTTACAATTTCAGTCCACTTCTCAATTTTTAGGTTTTTTTTTTTTAATGGATTACAATTTTAGGAGAATAAGGATTCGAATCTTAGATCTAGATTTGGGAGTATACTTTATGATGAGAAATATAATCATTCGAATAAAAAAATCTAAATGTAATTTTTAAGTCAATTTCAATTGTGACTGAAGAGAAAAAAGTAAAAAAAAAAAAAAAGGACAAAATCATATGTACAAAGTCTATGCTTCAATTGATGTTCATTTGAAGCATCTATGGTTTGTTTTCATCACTTTCTCAATTTCCTATTTCTCTTTCTTAAGCTATGTATGGAGTACTTAAGGGAAAACTCTTCAAATTTAGCTGGCATATAAGCAAATTGAAGTGTTTGAGTGCAATTTAAAACCACCAGATTTCTAAGATCATCTTTCAACCATTGAGAAACAAATTCAACACATCACTTCTTAATACTAACAAATATTTCATACTAACCCAAGAATCAAATATCTCAATGTACTCCTTAACCGTGCCTTCATCATCATTTTGAAATCAACAAAATTCACACATAGCAGCCATAGACACCCAAAACAAATCTTGCATACAAATCTTGGCATAAATCATTATGAATTAATATCTCAATGCCCTGTTTTTTTCTTTAGCTTTTTTTAATCCTAGAAATTTGTGGATTCAAAAACATGATAAATATTTTTAACTAGTTCAAGAAAATTCTATAGCCACCTAATCCAACAGAAGAACCATATAAAGACCAGGCATAAGAAGAACAACACCAAATGAATATGCCTAGCTAAGTGGAAATCTCATTTTAACCGTATGAACATTACTGGATTCAAAAAACAACATAAACCAGCAATCAAGTTGGGTGTAAAACGAGTTTTCCAACTTGCAGATTAATGAGAATCAAAATGATACAAATATCCAAGAAACTAAGATGATAAACCTCACAAATCATAAACAACAAATATGAACTTAAATTCCTTCTCCTTGCAAATAGCTATCACCTAGTCCTAATCAAGTTTAAGAGAAAGAATGAAAGAGTCATGATTATTAATGAAAAAGTCTGCTTAATTAAACTCAACAGCAATAGAGCAATTATTGAACCCTATTGGAGATGTCAAGGTCTTCTCTACCATAAAACCAATTACTTCAATCATCCAATAATTACTGAGAGTTTCCAAAGATTGGAAAAGTAGAAAAGTAAAAGAAAATCAAAGATACCAATACACAGATATGTTTCTACCTGTATATTCTAAAAATTATTTATATTTTTATATAGTATTTTTGCCTCATTTTAATTAAATACCTACTGAATTAAGCATAAATTATACTGAAATTCCCAGAAATCATCTTAGTAACAGATCTAAAAGATGAAACAAAAACTCTTCAAAAATCCACCAAAGAAAGCTTAATCTCCAAATTTGTAGATTAGATTATCAACAAACAAAACAGAAACACCAGATCTAAAAACGAATTTCCAATGAAAAGCAATGTAAAACTTCTAATACTTCATGATAATCTCGTATCAATGTAAAATTGTCCAAAAGAAAATGCATCTACCAAACTAGAAAGTCATTAGTCTTTAAACTATCAAGTAGGGAGACACAAACATGCCTTTCAATCCCTTTGCCCATCATTTTCTTCATTACTTTCATTTTGGCGAGACAAAAGGTGATGGCTTGATTGTGAAGAGGAACGATTATTTGGGGAAAAGCCTTGCCCACTATTAGCATCTGGAACCTACAATTCAGTAGAAAGTAATTAAGTGATAACTAAAATTTTAAAAATTCAATCAAAAGAAATAAAAAAGAAAAATAGATTTCAAAGATTAAACTTAAAAAATAGTGAAACCCGAACGAAGAGGTATAAGTAAGTATGAGATACCTCTTGACGAGTTGAAAAATAAAATTCAATGAGTATAGATTTGAAATGAAAATTGAAAAGAACAAAAACATAAACTCAGCAAAAACTAAATAGAAGAGATGAAAAACTAAGAAAAGAAGACTGAACAGGTAAATAAAAGAAGAAAACAGAAGCTAACTTTATTAAAATGGTAATGATATAAGTATCCAATTACTAGAAACAAAAAATTACTTGGAAATAAAATTACTTGTTAAAATTACTAGAAACAAAAAATTACTTGAAATAAAATGGAAGGATCTGATTGAAAAGATCAAAACAAATAAAGAAAATAAAAATAAAAAGTAAAATATGTCACATCAAAGCTCCTCATGAAAAATCTTTTTGTCATCTACCAAACCATATATATGCAAGAATACAAAGAAAAAAAATGTCAAGTTGTAATTGTTGAACAAAAGAAGTTTACCTCTCTATCCAATCTGTTGGCAGCACCTAATTGGTTGGCAGCTTGTAGAATATCTGTGATATTCTCGTCTGGGAATCTTGCCTTCATTAGCTACATTAATCCACTTAACATATTCTCCACCTCACTCAACCTTTCATCAACATTACCATTTGTAGACGTGGAAGGGATAGATTTTTTGGAAGTTGGAACCTTCCCTAAGCAGCAAACCCTCCCTTTCTTGTCAGATCCCTTCACCTTAGAGAATACATCATCTCGCCAAGATGTAGTTTCCTCTAATGCATTTGTAGAAGAAGTTGACTCACTCATGTAGTTTTTAAGTTGTTCCTATGACACTTAACCCAAAATTAACTCCTTATTTTTTTTATACAATGGGGAAAAGCATACATTATTAAAAACACAGAGTTCGTGTTTACTAACCATCACTTGGCTTGCCTTTTCACTTACAAGTCCCCCCTCCTTTTTTGTTCAACTTTGAATGTAGAGTTCAGCCCTTGACAGCTTTCTCCCTTCAGCAGAGCTTTCTTGGAAAATAAAAAAGCAATAAATAACAAAATTATAATATACCTTTAAGCAATTATACTAAAAAAAGGAAAATAGGATAACAATTTAATTTATTACTAATCTAACATCATTGACACTGCTTTTTTTAATAAAGTAGCTTGAGCAAAAAAATCAATTACCTTCTCATTGACAAATTGTGCAAAAGTCTTGGTGCCTAGGCAATGGGGCTCTTCAAGTTTTTGCCTGTTTTCTTTGCTTTGTTTGCTAATTTTTTGGAAGAAAGCATAAGGTATAAGTTATTTGTGATAAGAGAAAATTAGGCAATATGTCAATTGCATAGCAAAATTGTCATACCTCTCCCTTCTCACTACGCCAATATTCAACAAGCACTTCAAATTGCTCCTTATCAACTTGAGAATCATTAATCTTATCATACATTTCATCTACTGTTAGCAATGGATCAAATCCTGTACTTTTTAGCTCATTTTTATAGCTTTTCCATTTTTCATTAACATAAGTCATAATCCAACTCTCGATTTGCTCTGTGCGGCTTTCCTCAATAAGGAACTTGGACTAAAATTAGAAACCACAAAAATAAAATGAGATTCAAAAAGATCGATAATAACAATAGCAGAATATCATAACAGTGAAAAGTCATCTTCAACCCGCAAAACAAATACCATGTAGCTTCATCTTCAACCCAAACCTTTGTAACCACACAAGAAGCTGATCCGCCATAATTAAAACTGAGTTCTATTCATCCTACACAACTCTAAAATCTAAACCAAATAAACTCCTATTTCACATGTAAAAAATGAAACTTTCATCCAAAAAAACTTATACCAAATAGAAACTTATTAGAATCGGTAGTTCCTCCCAATGGCATTAATGAATGATAAGGGGAGTCAGTTTAAATAGAAACAGACACTTTAGGAAATATATGCATAAACAAATAAATAATAAATAAAAAGAAGTAGAGCTTCAAATTATTTAGCACAACAGAAGAAAATTTTTCTGAGCTCTGGCAAAATGACTTCAGAATCTAGAAATTGCCCAGACCAATGGCAATTTATCCAATTATCATTAAATCCAACTCATAATAACTTTATAATTCAAAAAAATATCCATTGTCCCCAACAAATGTAGGATCATCTTGTTTGTAACAAGAATAATTAACAAAAATCAGTTAATTTGCTCATTTATCGCAATCAAAAATGTTAAAACACATAATCAACATACATCAACACATTCTTTTCTTCACACTTATAAATAAGAACAACACAAATCAATGGAAAAGACCCAAAAAAAAAAATATATATATATATATATATATATCCTGAATGATTTCCAAGCTAATAAATCACATGAAAAATATATCATCAACTCCTGAATTAGTGTAAACAAGACAAACCATCCAATTCGCAGCGTGAAAAGTAAGGGCAGGTTTTGAAAAAACAAAAATAAAAAAATTAACAGTTATAATCTACATTTAGAAGAGTTCATACACAATTAGGAAATTCATATCAAACGATTGGAGAAACACAATCTAAGATATTTCACCCCCCTAAAAAAAAAAAAAAGAATCCAGGTTGACTAAACTTGATCAATATGTACATTACTTAAATTTATAAAATAAGAAGTAATATACCAAATTTGCACCAAGTTTACTAATCTATTAAAAGTATAAGCCTTTTTTTTTTTTACCTCAATAATCTTCCACATGTCATCCTTATAAATTTGAGGCATATCCCTCCATTCCTTGTAGTTAATAGGTGCAACATCTGATTTTCTTGCAACAGTATCAAGGAATCGAGTCAAGGTGTAGCCTTCTTTACCAACTGGGTGGCAAGTTGGATCAAATATGACGTTGACCTTGACACCTTTTTCCAACTCCCATATGTGGGACATCAATGTTGGACCTCTTGGCTTTCTAGGCGGTGGAGATGGTGCTACTAATAAGTGCATTCATAAGTTATAAATTCACATAAATTCATCTTATAAATTTGGAAAACAACAATTTAAGTAAAAACTTTACCTCTAGAATTTGTTTCTTCTAGCATAGCATGTTGATGGCTTGACTCACTTGCATTGTTTTGAGATGGAGCAGGTTGTTGGCTTGGCTCAACCTCATTGTTTATGGATGGAGAAGAGGGTAAACTAGCTGCAGTTTGGTTGTTTGACTGGACTTTTACAATATTGAGACGCTTGCGCTTTGGCATCTTGAAAGGAAAAAAAAAAAAAGATGATAATAATGAGAATTTATATCTTAATGGCATAATATATACTGAAAAAGCAAGCCAAGTTTATGAACTTAGAAGAATTACATAAATACATCTATAACAATCATTCAACCATGTTCAAACAATTGAAAAAGTAATAAATACTAATAAGATAAAAATATAAAAACTAGACTATTATATTTCAAATTATAGTCATACATTACACAAAATAATAACATATTGCCTTCATTAGAAAAACTAATAACTACACTTTCTATTACAAACTAAAATTTAATCATCCATTTCTTCCTCATCATAGTTTTCAACTTCCATATTTGTGTCACAATAATCCCCTCTTCCTCAGTATCTCTCCTAACCCAAGTGGATGCCATGCCTGTTCCAGCAACTTCATCTTCTTTAATAGGTATCACTTCTCCCAAATCAAAGGCACCTCTAACCTTCACATGCATGCTTGACTACTTGCCAATCTTGTTCTCTTGCATCCTCAATGTAAAACACTTTACTAGCTTGAGAAGCAAATATGTAAGGGTTATCACTAGGATTACTACCAATGTGAGATAAATGATTGAAATTGACCAATGTAAAACCAAATTCATCTTTCTTGCATCCTCTTTAGGTGTCTGCCCAATCACACTTAAAAAGCGCAACTCTATAGAAGCTAGAATAATTCAATTGAATTATTTGTTGCAACACACCATAGAAATTTATCTCTCCTTCCATTAGTTGATTATCCTTTCTACTAGAATAACTTGTGGTTTTTGATATAACTACCACCCCACTATTTTGTATTTTCAAGTTATTCTCATGAGTTTTGGTGTGGAATCTTAATCCATTTACTAAATATCCAGAATAGGTCTGAGCAACATCACTTGGTCCTTTCGAAAGCCACTTAATTTTTTCAGAAATAGCATAACCTTGTTGTTCCATTCTTGTAACCTGCTAACACAAAATATTAATTTAACACATTAGTTTGTGAAGCCAAAAATCATATGCCATTTAGTTTCTATCCTTTAAACTTACCTGATCACAAAACCATTCATGAAATGTCAAGGAATGACGCCTTTCGATCTCATACTGTGATAGGCAAGGTGAGTGATGTTGTTTCTTTAAAAAATCCTTGTGTTGCCTAAAAGCATTAAATAAGCAGGTTAGTCATATAAAAGGGGAAAGAAAAAAAAGATGTATTTATCCTACTGACTTAATGAAGGGAATGACTTCATGAGTATTAAAAAGAATGTATCGGTGGGCTTAGAGCAAGGATTGAGAGTCAAGCTTTATCCTTCGCACCTTCTTTCGTTTCTTTAGATTAACAGCCATGTGTACTTGTGCCCTTCCCAATGGTCGACCTATGGGAGTTACTAGGTTTTCTTTTACCTCATTAGAATGCTCCCTATCATCTTTATCATCATTACATAAAGGTCTATTAAATCTTGTCTCAACCCTTTCTAAATATCTTAAGCAGAACGTTAAACACTCATTTGACAAATAAGCTTCTGCTATTGATCCCTCTAGATGAGCTCTATTACAAACATAATTCTTGACTGTAAGGAGGAACCTAGAAACAATTAAGAAAATCATAAATTAGTCAACATTTTTTAGATTTGTTGCAAATTAATGAATAAATTATTTTAAAAATAAAAAATATTAAGAATTAAACTAACCGTTCAATGGGGTACATCCAACTATAAGCAAATGGCCCACCAAGCTTTACCTCTTCTGCCAAATGCATGACAAGATGTACCATCATAGTGAAGAATGAAGGTGGGAAGATCTTTTCCATTTCACACAAAAGTATTATAGATTGAGACTTTACTCATCAAGATCAGATTCTTTGAACACTTTTGCACACAAGCATTTGAAGAGTTGACACAACTCCATAATAACTGAAGCAACTCTTTTAGGCAAAGGTCCTCGAATTGCCATTGGTAGAAGTTCTTCCATAAGAATATGGCAATCATAAGTTTTAAGTCCTATTATCTTCTGTTGTTTAACTTGAACACAGCGGGAGATATTACATGAGTACTCATCAAGTAATTTCATGTCTTTTAAGACCTTAAAAAAAGCATTTTCTCCTTTGCAATCATTTGATAACAAGCTTTGGGCAGCAACTTAGAGTTATTGCTTGATCTTGGTTTTGGATGCAGATCAGCCCTCAACCCCATGTCCTAGAGGTCACAATGTGCTTTGTAATTGTCTTTTGTTTTTCCATCTTGGTCAGTTCTTGTTCCATAAGTGTTATCAAAGACATTTTTCTCAGTGTGCAGCATATTAATGTTGTGGGGAAGTAGATTGTGCTGCCAGTAAGGAAGAGTGAAGAAAATGCTAATCGTTTTTAAAGCTTGACTTGATTCCCCTTCCATTATATGCACATCAGTTGCATGACTCAAAATTTCTGATTTGGATGTTCGACCAGGTGGCATTCGAAGCTCCTTGTTTCCATCAAAAGATTTTTTATCATGTCGATACCTATGCCTTTGATCTAGCCATCTCCGATGACCCATATAACAATATTTCCTACTGTGATATAACCACATAGATTCTATATTATAACCACAGCATGGACAAGCCTTTTCCCCCTAAGTACTCCACCCAGACAGAATTGCACGAGCTAGAGAGTCATTGATGGTCCACAATAATGCAGCTCTCAACTAGAATCTGTCCCCTTTAGAAGCATCAAAAGTTTCAATCCCAGTGTCCCATAGTTGTTGTAACTCTTCAATGAGTGGCTGCATGTAGATATCAATTTTGTTTCCAGGACTTTTTGGACCAGGAATCAAAAGTGACCATATCAAATTAGGTTGCTTCATGCATAACCAAGGAGGCAGGTTGTATGGCATTAGTATAACAGGCCAGGTGCTATATGTGACATTCATTGACTTGAATGGGTTAAATCCATCGAAAGCTAGACCCAATTGCAAATTTCGAGGATCAGCAGCAAACTCTGGATATTTTTCATCAAAATGCTTCCAAGCAATAGAATTTACAGGATGGCGTCCGTTCTTCATCATGCCATCTCATAAGAGCAACAATTTTTGAAGACATGTACAAGCCATTATAATCTTTGGATTAAAGGGAACCATCGCAAGATCTTAGCAGCTTTTGGCTTTTTCTTTTTTATTGTGCAATTTATGGAATCTTCTTCAATATTTGTGTTAACAATCCATCTTGAAGCACTACACTCAAAACCAAAATCATCATTAGCTTTATCTTTCCAAAACAACATGCAATCATTAGGGCAATCATGTATTTTGTCATAACTTAAGCCTGAGCTTCTAATGATTTTCTTGGTTTCACTATAAGACTTAGGCAACAAATTCCCTTCCGGTAGCAAGAAGCTTAAGTACTCTAATAATTGAGTGAAAGACTTATTACTCCACCCATTTAAGCATTTTAGGTGAAATAAATGCACAACACCAGCTAACTTACTCTCTTCACAATTGGGGTATAATTTTTGCTTAGCATCCTTCAACAAATTAAAAAGCCATCCATATGATTTCCAAACATGAAAGGTTCTTGGCTAAAAGCACTTCCTGAATTGAAACTCTCTACACCCTTATTGTGGATGCTATCTTCCATATTAACCCCTGGAAAAGCATCTTGTAGCAACCCTCTCATATCATGATTAAAAGCTATTTCCTCTTCATTTTGGTTTTCACTAGAATTCAGCACTGTAGAATCCTTCTCATGAGAAATCCAGTTATAATTTCTAAGAAAATCCTTTTCTACTAAATGATCAACAACCTCTTCTTTTGTACACCAAATTAAGTTTACACATCTCCTACAAGGGCACAATATTTTCCTAGCTTTTGCAGATTTCTCAAATGTAAAATTTACAAAATTCAAAACTCCTTCTATGTAATTTGGACTTGAGGTTTCTTTCAAGTTTATCCATGTTTTATCCATAGTGATAAAACGATAAAACTGTAACCAAACAATTAAAACCAATGACAATAGAGAAAACAAAAACAAAAAAATTGAAGTAAACATTTGGATAATTTTTTTTAATAGCTTTATTTATTTTCTAGGAAATTTTACTTCCCTAAAACAAATAACATGAGCCTTAGCATTCAATTGTATGTCATTTTGATAAAAGAATCACTAAAACAAACAAGAGCACATGGTAGAAGGTTTAGTTCCTTATAATTTTTTCCTATTATGGAACAGTTCAAATACCTCTGTGGTATGATTTTGTCAGTTATAATTATTTCCTTTATGGAATAATTCAGTCTTATTTAAATATGGGGTTTTTTTTTCTTTTGTTTTGGTTTGTTATCAGTGAAGACGAGAAGGGAAAAGAAGAGAGAGATGTATTTTCCCATGAGGAAGCATGCCATTAAGGTGTAAGACAGTTTTATTAGTTAGAATTCTATTATTAGTTGCTATGCACATTTACTTTTCCCAATTGTGTTCGAGAACTTGAGTTTGTGTTTTTGTTTAATTTTTGTATGTGAACTTGGGATCATCAACCAAGATGTAGAGCTTTTTTGACACAATGGCATTTCCTCTATTTCTCTTGAAATCCAAAGTGAATTTTGGTTCCTATTTGATGACTATTTAAGGTTTCCTCCTTGCATATGAGAATCAACATAGACAATGGAATTTGGTGAAATTGCAATTTAATGACAATTAGGGAGATAATTGATACCATGTCATTTTCAACAACAGAGATACAATGTCATTTGGATAAAGATTCTATATAACTAACTTTGTGCTTGAAATCTTGTCCATAAAAGAACAAGATGCTCTTAGAAACACAATACTAAAATTCATATCACCAACGTATTTATTAGCTTACCTAAATTAACAACATCAAGAGATGAAGAATAGCAATGCCCAAAAAAAAAAAAAAAAAAAGCCACTAGGCTTGCTTACTATTCACACACATACATACAAGGTCAAGGTGTTTTGAATTTTGAAGGCAAGATTTTAACACTTTTTGGTAGTGCTACCACAATGAACTTGAAAAAAAATCCTTAAAACTTTTTTATTTTATTTCATATTTCGGTCAACTCAAACAAGACCAACCAACAAAAGACACTAGATCAATAGCATTAAAGAAAGAAACTGTAATCGGAAAGAAAGAAAGAAAAAGAAGAAGCAATTACCAACAAAATTAAACTACATTTGAATTAGGAACAAATAGCACAAATCAACAAAATCTCAAGTGCATTATGTATTGACTAACCTTTTTCTTCTCTCAGTAAAACCGAAGGCTACTCTCAATTACTGTCTTTAACAGGATCTTCAACAAATCTGGAAATTAATAGTAGGAATCCAGAGTTAACCACCAACCAAAAATTCTAAACTTGTCCAGAAAAATGACAAAAGAACTAAAATTTACTCTGTAATATTTTGAAAAACAAAAATTACAAAATGCATTTCCAATGTAGAAAAAAATAAAGAAAAGGAAAAAGAAAAAAGAAAAGTTGATCTCTCATTTTCTGATAACACATTTAGACACATCCAAGTATTAAATATTTTTTTCAAATCCATATATGTTTTTCTTCATCAAGTTATTTGCAATTCTTTCTATTTGTAAAATGAGTGCAATTGGACCTAATTTTCTCAGTGATTGTATGTTGTTATCCATACACAATTTTAGTTGACCCTTTGATGAAGGGAATCCAACGGAAAAAGGAAGGACAAGGATGAGGAAGATGAAAAGAAAGAAAAGAGGCTTCAAACGCGGAATGGCATTGTTTCATTAAAGGAAATATGCGTAGAATTTTGTAAAACAGGTTAATACTCTTTCCATAACTTATTATCCTAAAATTTTTATGAAAAATTAAATAGAAAAGAATCCAATAAGCTAAATATAACATAAAACTCTGTCAAACTACATATTACATTCAATTCCCAATATACAAACACAACACAATTCTTTGGATTTAATGAATATCTAATGGCAAGAATTAAAAAAATCATATAAATAATAATGAAAAGAAAAATACAGAAAATCAAAACCAAATCACCAATACGAAATATCAGAAATCTAGCAAATGGAGAAGTCTAAAAATAAAACTTTGAACTAAAATTATAGAACTCATCCAATGGAGAGCTGCCCAAAAATTAGTGTCTGCCACTTAAAGTAGTTAACACACGGTGGTCTTTAGTAAAAGGCGAAAGAATAGTTCGCTATGTGCTTACTTCCTATTTCATTGCTTGTTGCCCCAAACATGGTTATGAACAACAAAGTGGGAAACAAAAAAACCAGAACATTGAAACCATGTCAAGGCATCCTACCTTCCTAACTGATTAGCAATCATGAAGTCAACTTGAATGTTAGGGCCTCCAATCCCAAACTAGACTATTGTGGAATAGAACCACTTACTTGATGGAAGATTAATAAGAGTAGAGAATATCATTAGCCTAAATCATAAAATTTTGTCAAATTTACAATAGTAATTTATTCCAAAAAACTTTTCATTCCATGACAGCATCATTATCCCCCAGTTGGAGACTTTGGAATACTACTCAAGCACCATAAATGACATGTATTATTTGGCTTAATCCTTCTTAAATCTGATTTCATCATCACCAAGTAGTGTACATATGTTAACCAGTGTAAGTCCATGCCAACCATTTTAATAACAACTTGACAATCACAAAATTAGTGTAACAAGCGCACTATAGAAAGTATATATAAGTTTAATCCTAATTCTGAAGAAGACAATCATTCACACTTAAGACAAGAGCAACATACCAGAAAAAGCAAGCAAATCAATAATCAAGAAGCTCGACATTATGTTTCAATTGTTTCTGAGCAATCAAACAAACCACTTAAACAATTTCAACACAAGTCATTTTGGACTATAGACATTTCAAATTCAATCTAAATATTTATTTCCCACATATGTTACTTTGAGACTTGAAAATCAAGCAGAATCCTCGCAATGGTAATTGGAATTCATTTCAAGAAATGGCTAAGGAAATTCATTCACTTCACCATTAAAAAGGGAAACAATAGACACAGAACAGTACCTGGCCAATTGCTTGTCATATTTACTATAAGGGTAGATAGGAATGAGCATGAAAACCAAAAGCAATCCAATCACCCTAAAAAAAATTTCAAAAAAGGGGTTTTGACCCAGAATAAATACAGGGGAAAAGGAGAAGACTTTGTTTTTTCTACCGAACTAGAAAAGGAGGAAACAAAGAGAGCAAGAGAGAGAGAGAACGAACACAAGGGACTTGGAAAGGGGGAGGAAGAGCAACGAGATAAGGACTAAAAAGGCGTTGAAATAGATGGGTCCAAGCCATAAAGTGAGAGCTAACATTGCATGGAAAATGGTCGAGCGGAACTCCTCTCTTCCTCTAAACTCCTTTGATGGTGATATTCTCCAATTGGCTTCTTCCTGGCCCATAATCATATCTTACAAATATTCTTTTGAGTTACTCTATCTGCTTCAGGAATGTAGAAGAATCGATGATTTCAGGCAGAGTTTTTTGGAAGATTTAATAGTGAAGTTATGACGATGACGGTGATGCGATCGGAACTTGAAACCAGAATGAAACGAAACAATCGAAAAACAACAATGAAACCAATAATAGCAAAAATGAAACCAGTAATAGCAAAGATGAGCATGCACTGCCTAATGGAATCTTATAGCAACAGAGAGAGAGAGAGGCAGCGGTACCATGGTTGACGGAGAGGAGAGAGCAAGCGGGCCTGCGGTCGGCTGCAAGCAATCCTTTGTCGTTGATGGATTAGAGTGGAGGAAATGAATTTTGCAACTAGGTTCGTATGGGTTTTGAGTTTTAGCAAAATCAATTACAAATTTTGGAGATTTGCAAGGAGGGAAGGTCAGAAATTGGGGAGGAAAGCTTAGAAATAAGGGAGGGAAATTGGGGAATCTGCGTGCGGTGGGAAGGGAAAGTAAGGCAGGCTGAAATTAGAAAGAAAAAAAATAAAGTATTAAAGAAATAGAGGGATTTATACAGACAGATTTTTTATCCGTTGGTATATACTTCTGTTGCTATAGGGCATTTTGTTTGTAGTGATCCTAAAAGTAACACATGATGAACAAAAAGATA